TTCTCTCGACCAAGTCATCACTTGGCCTCCCCTCCTCCTCTTCCAACCGCACCCACAACGCGCAAACAATGTACGTCGCGGGAGTCGGTGTGCTGGCATGCGCAAAACGTGGCCCAGCCATCGGAGCCTGGTGCGTGATATAATGGTGCTGAGCGGTTCACTCGCTCTTCCTGCACCAAATACGCGACGTCGAACACGCTCATTGCTCACGCGGTGTTCACACCAGACATGAGCTAAGCTGCGAAGGCAGCGATGATCGAATGTGACGAGCCTCTCCATGTCTGTCGATCTGATGGGCCAGGTTCCACAGCCGTATATGAGAGTTGAACGGACGACTGCGTTATAAACTCTGCCCTTCAGGGCGAGAGTAATGTTGCGTCTACGCCACAGGCGGCGGAGATTGGCAAAAGCACCTCGAGCTTTTGCTATGCGGTTCGTAACCTCATCTTCAATCCCACGGGTGCTAATATAGCTGCCCAGGTACTTGAATTCCTGAACGGCTTCTAGCAGATCACCACCAAGCGTTAGTGCAGGGTTGGGTCCCTGCCAATGTTGGAGAAGTACTTTGCATTTCGATGGAGAGAAGCATAGCCCAAAACAATTGACAGCCAGTGCTAATCGGTCCAGTGCTGTCTGGCATGTTTGGGGGCTGTCACAGATTAGGGCAATATCGTCCGCATACTCCAAGTCAAGAAGTCGCTCACCAGGAAGTAGCTCTACACCTTCTAGGTGGTGTCCAGCGAACGCTGTTTCCATGACTTCCTCAATAGCGAAGTTGAAGAGGGAAGGTGACAGCGGGCATCCTTGTCTCACACCGCTGATGATACTGAAGGGTGGCGAGAGTTTGCCATAAACCCTCACCCTGCCCGAACTATGCGCGTACGGCGCTTTGATAATGTTTACATATTTATCAGGCACACCTTTCCTCAGCAGACAGTCCCAAAGGGCACATCGATCGACTGAGTCAAAGGCACCTTTTATGTCAAGAAACACGACAACGGTGAGTCGCCAATAAACATGGCGGTGCTCCAACACTTGACGCAATGTGAAGATGTGGTGCGCAGTCATGGAACAAAACAACTTTTTCCTCCCTAACACATGAGCTACTGAAATTGACCATTTGGATTCTACTCACTCTCCGAATCGATCCTTAGTTAAAAATAAGTGTTACCTTTGTGGAAATACTGAACATCGTGCAAATGATAGGTCGTCCTACAAAAAGTGAAATCTGATGGAATTGCAACAAGACCGGTCATTTTGCTCGAGGTTGTCGTTCCTGCGCCATCTCTTTAGTTGATTTTATAAATTACCCTAGAGCTTCTCCGGTTACCACTGAACAATCTATATATGTCGGTAATGAATGCGAACATCCATTTTCGTCTCCAACTCAAGCACTTAAACTGCCTTCGTCAGCTATTCGTCATGTTTTTTTAAGTTAGAAACGAAACCATTTGTCCAGACATAGAACTAGATTCCGCGTCACCAATCACAGTTGTACCATATTGTTTTTACAAACAGCATTTTGATCAGCTAACTGTACATCCTTCTGCTTACACTCTCAGCAGCTACTCCAATGGTGATGTCCATATACTCGGTTTTGTTACGGTTTCAATATTTCTTATAAACAGCAGGAAGCGTATAGTTTAAGTTTACGTTTCTAAAACAGATATTAAACCACTATTGGGACGTAATGCCATGATCTTATTGAACGTATCACTATGCGTCAGCCGGATGACCATTGCCGGTGTCAACCTTCATTCGTTACATTCGAGTTATCCAAATCTGTTTCTTCCGGATATTGCTCGAGTCCCAAAAGCAATGCACCACATTCGGTTAAGCGCCGATTACAAACCGTTCAGGATTTCTCAACCTAGGCCTGTACCTCCGGCCAAGCGAGAAGTGTTGTCGCAAGCTTTCAATAATATGGTCGCAGAAGACTTGATAGAACCCATACAGTGTTCTGAATGGGTTCATCCACTAGTTGCCTTTCAAAAGAAACATGGCTCTATTCTTGTATACACCGACCTTCGAGCGCTTAATCGACATATATTTGTGGACAAGTTCCCTCTTCCTTCTATCGACTAGTTGATGGTTAGGCTATCAAACGCCAAACTTTTCTCAAAGCTGGCTATTCGCATTGCATACTACCTCATGCCACTGACTCCAGATTGCTGACCTTTGACTGCTTTCCTCACTCAAGACGGTTTGTATGAATACCAAGTGCTACCGATGGGCCTTAGTAGTGCCCCAGCTGCTTGGCAGAAATTTATTACTCTATCGTTACCAGATCTCATAGGTTGTGTTGTGTATACGCATGATATTTTTGTCTTTGATAGTAACCCCACCGAACATCAGGAAAACTTTCATAATGTGCTGCATAGACTGAATGGACTAAATGTCCGCCTGAATACCAGCAAATGCCAATTCACTGTAGTGGAGGTCGAGTTTCTTGGACATGTTATTTCTACCTCGGGTATTATGCCTAATGTGCAGAACACCAGTACTTCTCGATTGTCCAAAACCATGCAGTGTTACACAGATGAAACATTTCTCGGGTTTGTGTTTTTATTACCTTCGACATTTGCCGAATTTGGCGACCATTGCCGAGCGCTTACGGAGCTTAAGGTGCCAAAACTAAGAATTTCGTTGGGCCACCGAACAAGACAGTGCTTACATGACCATACGAGCGATGATTGGATGCACTCCCACGGTAGCGAGCTTCAGTGAGCCCTGTCCAACGTTTGTGTCAACTAAAGGTTCAGATGTCGGCTTGGGTGCAGTTCTGTCCCAGCTGCGCGATGGCGAGGAGAAGGTGATTGCGTACGCATCACGTACCTTGTCTGATACTGAAAGAGAAGGAGGAAGGGCAATAAAGAGGCCCTCGCATGCGTCTGGGCATATGAGAAATGTCACGTTTTCTTATTCGGACGTCGATTCACTTTGCACGCCAATCATTCTGCTCTTACAGCGCTACTAAGTCGCGGTAACAAAGGCCCAAATCCGGTACGCTTGAGTCGCCATTACTCACGTTTATCGAATTATGATTATGTAATAAATTACGTGCCAGGGTGCCTTAACCAACTTGCATTTGCCCTGACGCGATTCCTACTGTCCAACGATGGGGTAATCGAGGACTTAGAGGAGGCAAAAATGATACCTCAGCTCTCAGACGGAATACCTACAATAACATCTGGTCTGATACGAGAGTACACTGGCAAAGACCCTGTCCTTGCGAAGTTTCTGGAGTACAAATCCCCTTAATGGTCCAGTCGTACAAAAATCCAACCTGGGTTACTTCCGTACTATACCTTACGTCACGAGCTTTCTACTGTGAGCAACTGCATTAGTAAAGGCGAACCGTTTGTGGTCCCTGCAACCCTTATTTCAATGGTGGTTGCATGTGCGCATGAAGGTCATCCAGTGAGTGTGCGAACAAAAGCTCGGATACGGCAATACTATTGGTGGCCGAAGTTGAGTTCCAGCATCGGGGCGGTTATTCGGGAATATTGTGTATGCCAACTATCCGATAAGCGTACGAGGCGCCTGAATGCTCCAGTCCAACCTATCGTGTACCCAATGAAGCCCTGGGCAAAAATTGCCGTGGATATTATGGGCCCGTTTGCCTGTGCACCTGCGCAGAAGCGAAACGTGCTAGTGGCTACATGTTTCTACAGCAAATGGCCAGAAGCTATTCTACGCGGGGACGTAACTACAGTAGTCATCATAAAGTGGCTCCTTATTTGTTTGCAAGGTACGGTTTGCCAGAAAAAGTAGTCACTGATAATGTCCCACAGTTTCGAAGTAAGGAGTATGCTGAATTCCTCAGGCGCAATGGTATCAGACATACGAGGACTGTACCTTATAATCCTGCGGCGAATGGACTCGTCGAACGACTTGATCGTACTTTGAAAGAATCTTTACAAGTCCTTCGGGTTTCCGGAGAATCCTGGGATAATGTGTTAGGATCTGCATTAGAGGTGTACAGAATCACTCCACATACTGCAACGGCAATGACCCTCTCGGAGCTAATTCTACGGCGAACAATTCGAACACGATTAAATGCAGCTTTTACATCTGAAGAAACCGTCGATCGCAGAAAATACGAAAGACAGGCTGTTTACTAGGCTAAATATAGACGCGTTGGGAGAACGTATCCTTCAAGACATTCGTTTGTGTGAGACTACCCTATTCCTGTAAAGGAGGTTATGTGTTCGAACCGCCTACCCGCGTGGAATCTGTGTGCACACCAGGAACTTACAAGTTGGCTGATGGAACAAAAGTGAATGCAAGACGGCTGTATACAGCGCTTTCCCAACGTGCCGTTGAACAGACGAACACCTACAACACAGCGCTCGGTACAAACTAATACAAACTCACGACGTTCTGGTCGGACACGCCGCTCTGTCTACCGATACGCTTTAACCCATAACACTACATGACAATTGTTCGGGGTGCTGACATTAAATTAGATCGTTCATGGACACGTAGTGCATATAGTTTAACGAACAGACGAGGGGACAATGTCGTACTCAAATACTTTGCTTTGTTTTTGCCCTCGATTTTCTTATCCTACTCATACTTATATTTAGCACTCGTTGGCCTGTCATGTGCTCTTGCACTTGATTGGTTGCAATTCGAACCTCTGTCCATTTAATTGTCCTGCGCGCGTGTGAGGACAGTTTCCTCCATACATACGTTCCGGTGCCGCTCTAATCTGCTGCTTGAACGTCTACTGTGTTCCAGTGAGTTATCGTGTCACCATCATGAAATGTATCTCACGAAGCAATGATGAACTTCGAAGAATACTTTCAAATGATCCTTGATTTCCAATCTATCGTTGGGCTAGAACACATCGAAGTTAAGCGATAATTCTTATCGCTCGGTTGCCTATTTGTTATAAATAGTCAAAACGGCGCTCTGGGTTTTTTGATGTGAGAGGCTACCTACTTAGGAACTGGATGTGTCCAGTCTCCTTCAGTAATTTCATCTCGCGTCTTCAGCCCACATTTTTACTTACTCTTTGACATTGGTATTTATGATGTGCGTACCTTTCTTCCTTTGCTAATTTTAGCATAATGCAACCACTTTTGAGTTGGTCTGCCCTTCTACACAGACTCGTGGCACAGATTCATCTGATTCACCATCCTTTCCGCTTCCGTATGACCTCCCGCTGACATCGTACGAGGATAACGGTGAGTATACGCGACTTATCTGTTCATTTTGCACTTTGGCAAGTAATGGGCCCTTAAAAATCTGTGATACGATCTACCGTTGATAGAATTTTGCGAATTTTGGATGGTCTAACCGCGCCCAAGATGGAATCTTATTTATCTATTTGACTCACCCTCACCATTGTTGGTCATCAGTTCAGTTCATTCTTTCCTTTACGATCCCGTCACCGCTTCTTATGCTATTGTATGGACAAATGAAAACAAGACGTGGGAAAACACGAGCGGAAAGTCATGAAATATGCCATAAGGGAAATTACTGCCTACTGAATGGAAATGTCGACATTATGACGCAATGGGGTTACCCACAGATCCATGTCGGATAACGTATCTAACTGCTGATGTGGCAGACCTCGAGTCCTCATTCAAGGAGATGGCGTGCCTGCCTGGTGGAGCTTTTCAGTAAGCTGCTTCCCCCCGCCTTGTTCTATCAATCACGTACATTAAGACCGAACATGCACAATAGAGTTTCTGTTTGACCGATATTCGGAGCAATAGACTTAACCCAGTAGGGAAGGAGAAGTTGCCAAATACCTATTGTTTGTCTTCAGTTTCACTCATTAGGTTCTCCGATTAGCCATGAACAATGTCTCAGAAACATATGCCAGTCTCTAAATAACCATCATGCACATTGACCATGTCTCTGATCCGTACAACAGGACTGGCTGCTCGGCAGTGTCATGTCCTGTGCTGTAGACTGACAACCTTTGCTCTTGTCCTCTCCTTGGCTGCTTCTTACGCATTTTAACTACTGTCACAACCGACGGTATCACGGACTAGGAAGAAGCAACGAACTCCATCCGAGAGCTTGAGTCAGTTTAGAAATAAGAGGACCGATGCTAATAAATACGATGAGGCCACTATTACAGAACATGTGAACTGGGTCTCTTCACTCTTGTTGTTTCGCTTGTGAACAGGTAAGCAGGGTGCAGCGAGTTAGCGCTGTATCCTCCATGCAGTCACGAGAACACGTCTCGCTGACACGTTCTAAGAGTATAAAGTAACCAACCAGGTGTATTTTACAGTTGTTAGCTTTAGCAACTTCATCCCTTTGCATCTAAGCGCCTAGGAAATATCTTCTTATAGACTATTTTTGATCTTTCCGCTCAGGTCATCTACCCATACCACGTCTCCATACGACACTTGAGCATCTCCCAGTCTATGGCGACTTTATGGATAATTCCTTCAGCGGATAATTCCTGTCTTCAAACTATGTTTTATAAACCCACTTGTAACCGATGCTCATGATTTCTATAGTCCTAGATGGTGTGTTGGTGCAGCACATTGAATAACCCTTGGATTAACCGCAGTAGAGATGATTGAATTGGAATGAATGAACTACTTTAACCTATTAGTAGTGATAGTCCATCACAACCCATCGATCTCCGACTGAGCGATCACGGTATCATTGACACATTAAAACACGCGACTGATTACCCTTTCCCTGTTGGCAAACATTTAGGTGAATGAGCCTACATCTGTCCCGGGTTGGAGTCTCTTTCCTGCTGTTTACTCGAAGTGGGTAGTCAAACACGATACCCACTGTAAGATATAGTGCTACGAAAGCGCACTACCCTTTACATTTATTGCTGTTTGCCAGAAATGATCTTCGTCTATTCCATGAAATGGGCTAGTTCAGTGACCAACTTCGAAGCATATTCTCTCTCAGCTTGTGCGCATTTTTACTTATCCTGATCATTTATTTTTTGAAGTCCGACTACGCCCCTTCGGGTTGAATATCACCCCATGTATCGCAGTTGCATATGACGCATGGCCGATTGACATTCCAAGTTATCTGACTTCCCACCACCAATGCACTGTCATCATGTCCATTTTGTGGTTTTGGCTGTGTCGCAGAATTGCGTATATTTTAGTGACGTGTCAGTGGAACAAGCTAGTTCTTAGCCGAAAAGAGGGTTTCTACATTCTACAACTCTATGGTTTTGTGCTCCTTCCAAGCGCATGTGCATCTCCCTTAATCCGTTAGTGGACCGGAAACATTGACTATTCTTTTTACATGAATTCTGTGCGCTGGTTTGTAGACAAGCGGATACTACCACAACTGTATTCAGCGAAGGCGGGTGAACTGTATTCCCTTGTTTACGTTGTACGGGTATAAAACCACATTATCACTTGGTTGGATGCTTGGTGAGCGGACCATTCATTCCATCGGCTCGGAAGGCACCTGGGAAGCTTCCTTTTGTCTAACTAATTCTGCTTCCGTTAGTTATATGTCCAGTTAACTGCAAACTTTGAATTATTCGTAGAAAACGGACAACTTTCGCCCAATTAGTAGAGAAAGTAACCACCCACTGATTCCAGACCAGCCTAATTTGTCTAGCCACCATTAACCTATGGAAATGAGCTCTACTTTCCTGGGAAACTCATTTTTCCTACAATGATCGATTTTTCTTACAAATGCATAGTCAAGCAAGATTCCGATATCCATGCTTCTTCGAAGCTAAGCCTGGTTATTCAGTTGGTATATGCCAGCTTATCTGTTTAACACGGAATGCATGTATCATCCAACATTTGGTGATGCCCTACCAATAGTTTACTGATTAGCACAGCCTTCTAAACTGGGCCCCAGTTTTTTATTGCTGTACTTATCGAATGGCTGTTTTGACCTTATCTGTTATTCATTGCAGCTCCCTAGATCTACCCTCATTACAGAAACACTCATCACCATCTTTTTGTTCCATAGTAGGATGCAATGTCGATTGATGGATGGATCATCCAGTTTGATTAGTTTGGCGGACTTTTCGCTTCTTTACGACTAGATCCACTTGCCTCGTGTTCCATCGCTGATGAATTACGGCTGAGAAAATCAACACTGCTGTATGTTTCTTTGCTCCGAAGAGTTCAATCGTGAACTCGATCCTTATGGGAATTGTGGGTATTATTCCCGAGTACTACTGTCACAAAGGTTGCTCCCAATACAGGATGCATGCACCTGTTGGAGTCATAGTTGGTTTGTACCGCATTGTCTCCAGATCCACTCGATCACACACACCATATACCCAGTATGCACTGGGAACTCAAAGTGAGTAAGTTGTGGATAGGTGGAGACAGAATGTTTGACCCTCATACGACCAACTCATAACTCATCGACGTTCGGATTCAGCTATACGCCATCCATGATACGCACCTCGCAATGACAAACGGCCCCGTCTGATTTATACCCAGCTCACGCGAAGTCTGTACCTCCGAATTTCTTATTTGCACGTTGCATATACCGGATTTATACAAGCTGCTCGTCACGCCATTGCTACCTCCGTCATAACCTGATTGCTGTAACTAGGACTACACCTCCTCCTTATCCTCCACGACGGGCAACCTTTTCGGTGAGGTTCCTCGCCCTTTAGACTCAGCCCGATAACCATCACACATCCAGTAAAGTATTAGACGTTGAGTTCGCCCTGTTGGGACATGTCAGCGACGCTCATCCACCGGATCCGATTACTTATTATTGGAGAATAATAAGGAAATTTATCGCTTTAACAGCTTATGTCACCTCGATTCCTGGCGGTAGTGGTAACGCTGGGGGTCAACTCTCTTCTTTGCACGTTCGCAACTTGCATGACAGTGGAGAAGATCTGCGCTATATTTCAGTTATAGATCATTCGTGGCGTTCTGCCGCCGTCATCTATGGCTCAGTGGTATAAGTCGCTTATTCGTAGCAGTAAAGTCATGGGTTCGGATCCGATAGCATCCGGCGGATGCGATCTGCTGACGTGTCTCATTAGGACGTAACGACAGTCTAGCGCCTTCCTGAATGTGTAGTAGTTGTCTATCTGAGTTTAGTTTCGGCTACTTCTCAAAACAATGATCTGTTTACTACTCTCTAACGACGAGCACTCTCTTGGATATCGCGATGCTTTTGGTAATTGTGGACAGTTAAAAGACGTCCAAAACGTTTACAAATTGGGGCCCCATGTGAATGCTACGTACAGCTTTATCTATGGAAAATACTTTGGTTGCAGTTTTATTACCCATAATCATCAACACCACACATAGGTCACAACTCCACGTAACTTGTCTTGGGCGTCCGTTATGCTATAAGTTTACGTAATACGCGATAGCGTTTGCTCGACAACAAATACCGTCTTGGTAGGCTTGACAGCACAGCCTTAAGAAGAAAACGTCTTAAATGCATGGACCAAAAAGCATTCCCCGACCATACTTCTTGCCATCAGGTCTAGTTTGTACTCTTGGGATGTTACCATTATGGGTGCTTCATGCAGCGAGTGGGTTTTCATTTTGTGTCTTTTTCATGTTGTCCCCACTTGTTTTCAGACCAACCTTGGCTGTGCGATGTTGTGTACAACGAACCCGACGTATTTGGACGCACATGGAGACCGCGTTGATTTTGCCTGCTTTTCTCCGAACTTGTCCCCATCCTTTTATTTCATCAGATCTTCTGATCTACTGTCAATTTGTATACACCACGACTTGTCCGGTTAAATAGTCCAATAGAAGTGGGTGTAAAATTTCAGATTTATGCATTTCATAAAAACGCATTTCTACTTCATGGTAACTTGCCTTTCATCTGTGAACTTCGAGTCAATTATTTCCCTGGAACACTGCCTTGGTGGTCTTCGTGATCACTGGGGGTCCTCAACTGCTCTTCGGCAAACTTGGTGTTTTTGGATTTACAACCGGCAAGCCCATGAGCGCATCGGCTGACACGTAGAGTTGGTGTTCAGTCCTTCTATGATCATGCGTCTCCTAACTGTGTTGCACGTCTCTATTTAAAGAACGTTTTAACAGAATATGGCAACCTTATTTCCGCATGGCCTCTGACTATTCCTTTCTCCAGAATGTACCATGCTTCTAGCATTTATTTGGAGTACTCTCTTCTGCACAATAAGCAGTTGTGTGACGACGTCACCTTGTTATGTATTGCTAATCTGAACGAAACACTGGGGATATCAGCGGGTGAACTCAGGGATTTAGAGCAGGTTTCATAGTGTATCCTTATCATCAGTATGGTTTCCTTTAGCCGCATCATCACAAGATGAAGGCGTTTCCTAATCGCTATCCGCCGTAAATATAGCATACCGTTAAAGTAATAATATAGTCGCTGAAATGCACCACAGTGTATTCAGATCGCAAAAGTTCGATCATCTTCAATGTCCCAGACACAGGTCCATTGATGTCCGTGATGTGCACCCAAATGGTCTTGCACTAACAGGGATTCGCTGTAGCTTGACACTACTCCACAATGGGTCTCAGAAGCATAGCTATCCATCTGTGTTTAAATTCAACACTCCATCTGATCAGTGGCGTGGCAACTACTTTTGCTGCCAGAGGGGCAGCATAGGCGCGTGAAGGTCAACCGACCGGTGAAGTGCGCGCTAGTTTTCGATGAAATTTACTGTGCGCTTGGGACCTTGAGTTAAATGTGATGAGAGTGACCACTATGGGACAAATAAGAGAATCATTGGTAAGAACGTTTGCACTGCTATGATACATAGCGCAAATGTGTTGTTGATCATGCAGTGTAGCATTCAAATATTCAACCCGCAGCTTATCTAGATATTTTGTCTCTTATACTTGGTATCCAACATCCCACAGTAATAAAAACGCCGCCCCGTGTCACATGCCGTCTCCCCGTCCCCATACTGCGTCTCTACAAACGAAACGGCTAAATGTATCCAAAGCGGATCAGTCTTCTCTTCGTGTACAGAATGCAAACCCGTCAGTAGACACGATCACGTGTTGTGAATCCAGAAACGGCATCGTAGCTCAATCACCGATAGCCGCTCATCCAAATTCAAACCGAGTGCACTGAGAAGCAAACCGCTTACACCGGATCTGCATCTGCCGCTTAACAACAATGTAGATAACGTTCCTGATGAAAAGCGCCTGGTTGAAGGTATGCCAGTAAACCATGCGAAGTTTTGGCCGATTACAATTAAGGACGTAAAGTAACTGCCCATTTTCACGTCAACAACACTGGAACTAAGTTTCTTTGAATCCTTCGCCTAGTGTAATGTGCGTCATGTTGAGAGTACCCAGGCCTTCTGTATCCGGGCGTACGTTTGGTCGTCAAAGACCTAGGGGGCTGAAAGGTGAAACGGATACTTGGTAGGCTGTTCTACAGTTTCATAACAACCACCTAAAAAATAAATAAAGCTTTTATTCTCGACAAGGCGAGGCACGCCTTTACAGGCATAATCATTTTGACATAACAATGCGTGATTAAGTATGTGTAAAAATCCAATATGTTTGCCCTAACAGTGTATGTTTGCGTAGGCTGTGTGTGTGTAATTGTGTGTGTGTAGTTTGTGCTACTCCATTTTTGTATGTTTGTTATCGTCCGCAATATGCAAGTAGAAGATTGGTGTCCGTGTTGGAAAGGAATATCCAGATATCCACTAGGCAATGATTTCATTTTGTGACGAGTCACGATCGCCACGTCACAGTTGCTAAGTAGGCATTTGTGGATTTATCTAGGGAGAACGCTTGCCAGGCGAAACCCACCACGTCCTGGAACACTGCCTCCGAACTATTTGCTGAAATGTGTTAATCCCGAATCACCCAGCTGGTGCCACGAGGAGGTGCGCCTGATTTCTATCTCGTACTTAGCTGCACGATGTAGTCATAGATAGTAATGGAGGAAGGAGCCTGAGGTGTGCGAATTTATGATGAAAACGCGCACGAGATATGACTGTAACTGATGTCCGACTATAACCGCATCTTTTACCCACGTAGAATCGGGATGGAGCGAAATAGCAACTTCCACTTGCAAATCGCCTATGAACGCACGGACCGGTTTGCGTCATGCGGAGTCATTCATGTCTGTGTAGATGCTACAACCTAACGAGTAAACGTGATTCACCTAAGTGAGTACATTTTATTTGCTACTTCAAAGCACCTACTCACCGCAACCCTGTGGTGTGTTCGAATCCAGTCCACAACTGACAAATACCCATTCGGAAATATTTCCCTCGAGAGGATGAAGAACGTTTGTTGTGCTTTCCCAACATGCTCTGGGTTTCCGCATTGATCATCTTTACACGAGAAGCAAGCACCGTCCAGCCGCATGCGTTGGTGCAACGGGTTAAGCAATCCGGCAAACGGCCACACACTCTACCCGTGTCCGTCAAGTCTGAATAACTCGATTTTTTATTTCTCATGCCCTTATCAAAGTCTTTATCCACTGGTTCTCCAAACACAATGACAGGCAGTAGAACATAATTATTTGCTGCACAACCGTGTTGGAGTGGCATCTATTTGTCAACCTCTCACATGCTTGTTCTACAACGCGGCAACTAAAAGGGGTATGCGACCCGACCACACACACCAAGTTACCGGAAATCTACAATGTTCACCCGAATGAAGAACTGGCTATTTCTAGCAGCGTATAAAGTGTACTCTGACCCGTCATCATAATAAAGTACGAACAACGCTAGTTTAAAACTGACAGTTTACTGTCAACTGAATATTTTACAGATCGGCCCAATGAGCAACACGTCTGTAATTCTCACTGACATGCTGAACCATTTGTGGACAATGCTGCTGCGTCACTAATGCACGTACTTCCGACACCGTGTGCTCCTTAAAGCGATTCCGCCACTCGCTTTTATTCATAACGCCTTCAGGAGCATCTCGGAGTACCGTCCCCTCATTGCCTGTTTTACCTGAGCCTTTATTATGCTCTTGATGGGATTGCGAACTGGAGAGTATGGCTCAAGTAGAGGTCTAACAGCGCAGTATGGTTCCTCCAGGAAAACATGCTACAGGTACTTGTGACAGGGCGCGTTGTCCCAAATCAAAAGACACATTTCCACAAACCCTGCTCCGTTGGTGTCAAGCACTTGTTGCAGCCACTGAGCGCACCTTTGCTTGTTGGAACTTTCTCTCAGAACCGAACACGCCATCAAGCCTTTGTTTGTTATAGCGCCGACAAGATGAACATAGGGTCCCCGGCTGTTCGCTACTGTACGCTGCGCTCGACTATCACGTTGCGAGCGGCCACGACTGCGGGCGAAAAATAAGTTGAAGTTGGTCTCATCAACCCACACCGGTTGCCTTCCTTACACCGCCTAGTCCATGAACTGCAAAACGAGTGACCTGTGTCGTTCTTTGTGTTCTCCAGCGTGTTCATGGACTCCGGAATAGTGTGCAGTTTCTTCATTGTTATCAGTCTACCATCGAATTATCGTGAGACGGTGCTGGTACTTACTGCAATTTCGAACTCCGCCTACAACCGCAAACGAGGAGTTCAAGGCTAACAGTAGGCTCCGCAGAAACCCACTCCACTAGAGAGTCGATGTGGCTTTCTGCCAGTGCTCTGCGACGGACCCCCCGTACTAACGCACCGGTTCGATTGATTCGTACGCCCGTATCCAGTTGCAGCAAGTTTTCACCTTCACCTTCAGTGTGCAAGCCACCTGCTTCCAATCGTCTCCTTCCTCGTACGCTTTCAGTATGATATCCATCACCTCGCTCGCGTGCCGTACATACAAGCCAATCATTGAGTTTAGGTGAACTGCACGTTCAAAATCACACTGCAAACATATTTGGCTGTGGCTCATTATACCAAGCCAGTCGTCGTTCAAATCTCTACTGTCATTCTAATTGGTGGGAATCGCTTCTTTGGACAGAGCAACACAGGCCCACATGGCGCATCGGCCACCGACACTGTGTCTGGTAGGAGCTGAAGCGTCCCACCTGCACCCCTATGACTTAGTGCGTCTGAAGTTCTATTGACTGAAGGCACCGGGCTATACACGCACGCCTGCACAAGTGAGCGGCGGACGTACAGCTCAAAGTAATTGGGTAAAGACTCATCTTGTATGCCCATCAGCGCAACTCCTTTGCCGTTCAGCTTAATCCTGTTTCCCAAGGGGGCAAGTTGGCCGAGAAATGTCTAGTAGCAAACCATTGAGGATGTGCTCCTACAAGTTTGCAGGCGCTGTCCACGAAAATCTCACGGCAGGTGGATCGGCGCTCAATTCCTTATAATGTACTGGCATTATTTTCGAGGTTGATGTCACTTCCTTTGCTTACAGATCAGTTGTCCCATTCTTTGAATTCCAATGATTGGCGGTGGTTCCAATGCTTTAAAACACAGTAAGCCATTCCCTTTTCCCCCAGCGCGCATCCTCATTCTGAAACACGTGTGGTTTTGGAACACGCGTTTGGCATTCCGATTACTGGGACCGCGTTCGAACTGGAGACATTTGCAGAGCTTCTCGCTTACGACACTACACTCACTATCCAGCTTCTTCCTTACTCTACTCCTTAGTTTGTGCCAACCAGTGCTTAAATTCCAACCTGAAGTGTGGTTGCGGAGCCCTTCGTCAGTTAGAGAGCTGTGCCGTGGTTGTGCAATTAAGTGTTCGTACTTTCCTTTTGGAGGACAACCGAATAGTGTTGCACGACCGAGATTTTGTTATGGATATTTTCAATGTTATCCGATAGCGTTAAGGAAATGATGGCACATTTGTATTCGGGCATCCCTTGCGTGGAGACGATCCCAACTAATCCAATGTTTATGGCGCTATTTAGGAGACGGCATTGACACAAAACAGCCTCCGTTGTTCACGTTCGTAAATGAACTGAAATTGCACAGGATTGCCCCTCAGTAAATGTACATGAAATCTTCAGTGACATCAGCCGTCCGGAATTCAAGTTAACGAGGTTGCACAATTTCGTTTGGAGCCGGTCAGTCGATAGCCGACAAGCGCTCCAGCTTCCGACAAGGATGGTACACTATAGACACGGGTAAGTGTCTTGTGTATGAGTAGGTGTTGTGGGATGCACATAATTACAAAATTAGAAGAAGGAACCATACTTCAGCAGAATAATCTGAATTCACTTATTCAATATTCTCATTATCTGTTGTCGAATGACTAGTATACATCCAAAGAC